CAGCCCTGAGCTAACATCCATGCTAATCCTCCTCTTTTTGCTGAGGAAGACTGGCTCTGAGCTAACATCTATTGCCAATCCTCCTCCTTTTTTCTCCCCAAAGCCCCAGTAGATAGTTGTATGTCATAGTTGCACATCTTTCTAGTTGCTGTATGTAGGACACGGCCTCAGCATGGCCGGAGAAGCGGTGCGTTGGTGCGCGCCCGAGATCCGAACCCGGGCCGCCAGTAGCGGAGCACGCGCACTTAACCGCTGAGCCACGGGGCCGGCCCTAAGTCTTTATTTTTAGATTAGTTGCTGAAATACTCATGGGTGAAATGATATGATGTCTGGGATTTGCTTCAAAATAACCCAGCATGGAGGTGGTGAGGGAAAAAGTGAATGGAGGTACAGACTAGCCATGAATTGACCAATTGTTGAAGTTGGCAATGGGGGTTCCTTATACTATTTTCTCTACTCTTGTAGTAGTTGAAATTTGGCATAGAAATCAAGGATTTGGCAAGAAAATCAAGGGTTAGGTTGGATTGGGTTTATTTATAAATTTGTCAGCCCACTAAAACGTCTACTGTGTAAAATTAAATCTTTTAGGTGAAAGCAAGATTTGGTGGTACTCAAACTGAAGGGAAGAAACATGACAAACTTAGAGAGAGTATAAGAAATTTAATAAACACTTCTTGGAATAAATAATAATTTTGAAATTTTTGACTTGATTGAATCTGACAGAGATTTTTTGATAAAATGTGAAGCTATAGATTTAGGATCATTAGACAAACTTTAAGGCTGGTAGGCTCATCCAAACCACTCATTTTATTGCTGGAAAAGCCCAGAAAGGGTTAAGTGATTTATTAAAAGTTTGACTTTTCTCCTTCATATCTATTAACATATTAAGTAGAAAATTTTGCATATATTTTTCCTAATATAACTCTAAGCATTTTTCCGTATTAGTACTTATCCTTTGTAATAATTGTTTTTTGTTTTTTTTTGCTGGGAAAGATTTGCCCTGAGCTAACATCTGTTGCCAATTTTCCTCTCTCTTTTTTTTTTTCCTCCCCAAAGCCCCAGTACTTAGTTGTATACTCTAGTTGTTAAGTCCTTCTAGTTCTTCTATGTGAGCCACCGCCACAGCATGGCTACTGACAGAGGAGTGGTGTGGTCACAGAAGTGGAGCACACCAAACTTTAACCACTAGGCCATCAGGGCTGGCTCTGTAATAATTATTTTTAATGGTTGTTTAATATTTCATGGAGTTGATATAGTTCACTTATTCATTCTTTTATAATATAGCATTCATATTACTTCCAACTCTGTTACTATAAATAAAGCTGCTATGAACATATGTATACATATACTTCATTATGGTTAGGATTACAATAAAAGTCATATTCGATTTTCTCGGAAGTAAAATAAAAATTCCTCATGCAGGCATTTTTATCCTTTTGAAAATTTGTGAAGGGGCAAAATACAGTTAGGTTCTCCATTTTGTCTATGGAGCCAGCTCATGAACTGTCAAAATGATAAGATGTAGAGAAGAGCTGAGGGCTATTTTGAGGGCTGTTTTGGGCAAAACAATGTTTATATTGGTAGAGGCAGAAAAAAATTTTTTTAACTAAAACTATACCCTACCTGTTGAAAAGCTTTTTCTGCTTGACGTTCAGCATCGATAACTTGTCTCTCAAGCTGTTGCATCTGGAAAGTGAGGAAAAATAGAAAAAATATAAAAATTCACATTTCCCTTTTGGAAAGAGACTTAAAAATCTCACAATGTTATCAAATTCTTTAAGAATATTTAAAGTACTTCAATGGATATGAATTACATACAATTTATCACATTAAAGACTCTTTCAGTGCATATTTAAAAATTGATCAAAATACCAAAGGTTTGATACTTTTAATACAATGTAATATATACTACATGAGTATTCATCAACAGAATTTTCTTCGTTGGACTAGAAATTAGAAATTACTGGTCGACACATATTAAGAATAAATTAAATCTAAGAGAATAGTAAGACCTCAGATGTCATACTCGATTTGTTGATCAAAAAGTCACAATAATATCAGAAAGTGGTATATTCTCATAAGCTCCATATGTGGTACGTTTAAGTCAAACATCCGGGTAGTTTTAATACTTACAGATTGTGACAGAAAGAGTATAGAAGAGACTCTGATTAACCACACACGTCCACAAAAAGCATAGGTCACAAAGAATCGAAAAATATATGGGTATTTTTTTTTAAGTTCTGTAGAGAATTAAAAGTGCATAGATATAAAGTAAAATACTAAAATGAATATTATAAGTAAAATAAACAAAAGCCTTAAAAAGGACCCAATGCAAATTAACATAAGAAACGTGTACCAGGTATAGAATACACAATCATGATATAAAACTCAATTCCAAATTCTTTTTTTCTGAGTGTTGAAATATAGACAACTCTAGAGCAATCTGTGGCTCAACGTACTCTCATTTTCAATTTTACTGTTGGTTGGTATTCCAGAGGCCCAGAACTTTCAGAGCACCTCAAACTCACAGCACTCCGGGGCCTACCCCCAAAGCCAACATGCCCCGCCCCCTTCTCGAAACCACGGAGAAGCGGCCCTCTGTAGTCGACCGGCCCAGCGGGGAGCGCGGCAGCCAGCTCTGGACCACGTGGGCGACCCCACCCGAGGCTGCGTTTGACCTGCACACTGTTCTCAATGCCTGAAAGACGGTTTGCGCTATGAATGTATCATTTCTTAAGAGCACACTGCTCGGGAGCATTTACTGTGTTTTAATAACTGTGCTTAGGCAAATGAACATTCACGCAGAGGTAAAACTCAAGACCACGAGTACCATCACCTTCCCCCCCACAATGGAAAATATTTCCTAAACACCTCAGAAGTGCAACGCATGTAGCTCAGGAAAGGAACGTATCCATGTTCACTGTATCAAAGATGAGCAGTATTGGACTGTAGTGAAAGAGAGTTGGACCAAACACTGAGGCAACAGAGCCCTACAGTACTAAAAATGATAGGTTGTTTAATACAAAAAAAAAAAAATACGATATGTGGATAGATGAGGAAAATTTACAGATAAGTCTTTGAAAAGCATGGTGGCAACTATCAGTGGTTCTTCCTTGCACACCCCACTACATTTGCTGCTGGTGAAAATTTAAAGTATCTTCTGTTTACTAGGGATGCATCACAACCTTTCTATCTGGGCCAGACTATAACATCTGGTGACCTCGAATACATGACTATGGAAGGAGGAATTGTCTTTTAAGGATAGAGTCTGAAAAGACAGCCTTCTCAATAAGTCTGGAAAGTGTGCAGATCAAAGTGTGATTTAGAAGTTATCTGAAGATATGCAGCTGGCAGTTGGCCTGAAATCCAAGAGTTCTTGCAGAAAATGCAGAGGATTCCAAAAGAAGAGCTGTATTTAATACAAAACCAATTGCACATCTTATTCAAGAGATAATGTCTAATCCCCTCAGCAAGTAGTAGAAGGCTGCTGTTCAGATATGGCTATTACTTTAAATGTACTGACTCCTAAAAAGATGATAGTAATGATGTATGGTGTGCACCGGCTCAGGGCATTTGGACATTATTTGAAGGACACGCTGGTTTTCTTGCATCCAAATGGTTCAGAAAATGACTGAGGGCTAGAGAATAATAGAACTGTGCTGTCCAAGAGTACTTGAAATGTGGATTCACTTGAAATGTGAATTGAAATGTGATGTAAGTGTAGAATACATACTTCATTCGATAATACATATATTATTTGAAAACCCAGTACAAAAAGTATAAAATATCTCAGTAAATTTTTTGTGTGTGTGTGGTGAGGAAGATTAGCCCTGAGCTAACATCTGTTACCAATCCTCCTCTTTTTGCTGAGGAAGATTGGCCCTGGGCTAACATCCATGCCCATCTTGCTCCACTTTACACATGGGATGCCTGCCACAGCATGGCTTGATAAGCGGTGTGTATATCCACACCTGGGATCTGAAACTGTGAACCCTGGGCTGCCAAAGCGGAGCATGTGAACTTAACCACTACGCCACCGGGCCGGCGTCTCAGTAATTTTTTTCTATTGACTCACATTGAAATGATAACATTTTGGATATGTTGCATTAAATAAAATATAATATTAAAATTAATTTCACCTGTTTCTTTTTCATTTTATTAATGTTTACTAGAAAATTTTAAATTACATATGTGTCTCACATTCTATTTCTATTGGATGACAAAAGTGTAAAACATTCCATTGTCACTATTTATGGCAATTTAACTGCCAAAATAACACAGACTATTATTGCAGGGATCTAGATTCTGGAAGAGGTTTCAAATATTTGGATATGTAAATAGATATTTCCCAAGTGCATTCTCTGGACTCATATCACCTTTAATTTTTGCAAAAAATATTTCAAATGTTTAATAAGCAAGTATTATTGTTTAAAAGGATTTATTGAGTTATTGTTATAGACTATGGCACTATGCAAAAGCCAGCCCTGGTGGTCTAGTGGTTAAGATTTGGTGCTCTCACCTGGTCAGGAAACCACACTACCCGTCTGTTGGTTGTCATACTATGGTAGCTGCATGTTGCTGTGATGCTAAAAGCTACGCCACCAGTATTTCAAATACCAGCAGGGTCACCCATGGTGGACAGGTTTCAGTGGAGCTTCTAGACTAAGTCAGACTAGGAAGAAGGACCTGGCCACTCACTTCCCAAAAAACTGGCCATGAAAACTCTATGAATGGCAGTGGAGCATTGTCTGATATAGCACCAGAAGGTGAGAGGATAGCGCAAAAAGACCGGGCAGCATTCGGCTCTGCTGTACGCAAGAGTCAGAACTGACCTGACGGCACTAATAACAACTATTGTGGAAGCAAGCAGTTGGACAAGCATTATCTCCTGTCTACGCTGTTCCTTAAACCAAAAAAACTGGCAGGCACATGCCGACATCACATTCCATATGCTGACAATCGTCACCTCTACTATGTAACTACATTGTTATGTTTTCAGGAGAATTTTTGCACTTATGGAGCATCAACTTTGAATATTATTGAGGCTGCCGGGAAAAACAGGAAAATTCACAAACAGGTTGCTGATCTGTAAAATTTTGCTAGTGAAAAAAAAAAAAAATGACTGACATACCTACTTGAATGGCCAAAATCCAGAACGCTGACAACACCAAATGCTGATGAGGATGTGGGGCACCAAGAACTCTCCTTCACTGCTGGTGAGAATGCAAAATGGTACAGCCACCTTGGAAGACAGTTCAGTGGTTTCTTACAAAACTAAACATACTCTTGCCATATGATCCAGCAATCGCACTCCTTGGTATTTACCCAAAGGAGTTGAAAACTTATGTCCACACAAAAACTTGCACACAGATGTTCGCAGCATCTTTATTTATAATTGCCAAAACTTAGAAGCAACCAAGATGTCCTTCAGTAGGTGAATGGATAAATAAACCGTGGTACGTCCAGACAATGAAATATTATTTAGCACTAAAAGAAATAAGCTATCAAGCCATGGAAAGACATGGAGGAAACTTAAATGCACATTTTTAAGTGAAAGAAGTCAATCTGAAAAGGCTACACACTGTATGATTCCAATTATATGACATTCTGGAAAACTATGAAGATAATAAAAAGATCAGTGGTTGCTAGGGGTTGGTGGGAGATGGGCGGGATGAATAAACAGAGCACAGAGCTTTTTAGGGCAGTGAAAATACTCTGTATGATACCATAATGATGAATACATGTCATTATACATTTGTCCAAACCCACAGAATGTACAACACCAAGAGTGAAACTATGGACTTTGGGTGATTATGATGTGCAAATGTAGGTTCATCAGTTGTAACAAATGTACCACTATGGTGGGGAATGTTGATAATAAGTGAGACTATGAATGTGTTGGGCAGGGAATATATGGGAAATTTCTGTACCTTCTCCCTAATTTTTCTGTGAACCTATAACTGCTCCAAAAAAAATAGTCTTAATAATAATAATGAAAGATTGAATAGTTTCTTTTTTTTTTAATTTTTTTTCCGCCCCAAAGCCCCAGTAGATAGTTGTATGTCATAGTTGCACATCCTTCTAGTTGCTGTATGTGGGACGCGGCCTCAGCATGGCTGGAGAAGCGGTGTGTCGGTGCACGCCCGGGATCTAAATCCAGGCCGCCAGCAGCGGAGCAGGAGCGCGCGCACTTAACTGCAGGGCCACGGGGCTGGCCCTGAATAGTTTCTTAAGAGGATTACCACGGTGTGAATGCTTGTGTCTTCCCAAAATTCCGCAGGTTGGAATCCTAACACCCAGTGTGATGATGATGAAGTCCTGAGGATGAAGCCCGCATGGGAGGGATTAGTGCTTTTATAATACAGATCCCACAGAGCTCCCCAGCCCCTTCTTCCAGATGAAAATACAAAAAGTCTACAACCCAGAAGAGGGCCCTAACCCAACTTTGCTGGCACCCTGATCTCAGACTTTCAGCCTCTAGAACTGTGAGAAATAAGTTTCTATTGTTTGTAAGCTATACAGTCTGTAGTATTTTGTTACAGCAGCCAGAACGGACTAAGACAGAAAATCGGTACTGAGAGTGGACTGCTACTGTAACAAATACCTAAAAACGTGGAAGTGACTTTGAAATTGTGTAATGGGTAGAGGCTGGAAGAATTTTGAGGTGCATGGCAGAAAAAACCTCATTGCCATGAACAGACCATTAAAAGCAATTCTGGTGAGAGCTCAGAAGGAGAACAGGAAAGCTGTAGAGAAAGCCTCAACCTTCTTAGAGAATACCTAAGTGGTTGTGAACAGAAGGTTGGTAGAAATATGATGGATGGTAAAGGCCATTGTAATGAGGTCTCAGACTGAAATGAAGAACACGTTATTGGAAAATGGAGTAAAGGCGATCCTTGCTATAAACTAGCAAAGAGCTTCACTGTATTGTGTTCCTGTCCTAGTGTTTTGAGGGAGGTAGAACTTGTAAGCAATGAAATTGGATATTTGGCTGAGAAAATTTCTAAGCAAAGTGTTTAAGGAGTGGCCTTGTTCTTCTTGAATGCTTATAGTAAAATTCGAAACGAGAGAAATGACTTAAAGATGGAATTGTTAATCAAAGAAGAAGCAGAACCTAAAAATTTGGAAGTTTTTCAACCTGTCCATATTGAAAGAAATGAGAAAGCTTGTTCAGGAGAGAAGAGGGTGTGGCCAAGCCATCTTTTGATGAAGGGATTAGTATGGGTTTGAACCACAGACCTAATCAGCCACCCCAGCAGGAAAACAGTTCGTTTGAACATGCGAGGAAGTAATGAGGAAGGCTGTTGGACTTAGATTTCACAGGAGGAGACCATACAGCTATATAGCTATGAACATGGGCTGTTCTTCAACACAAGGAAAGAAGAACCCTAAACACAATTCAGAGATTATCAGGCTGCCTCCTCAGTTTCAAAAAGTGGGGGGACCATTGCTTGGGTTTCAACAGGCCAAACAACCTCCGCCCAAACCAAGGCAGAGCCCAAACCAAAGTGGTGCTGCCCACAGCCATGGGGGCCTGACCCCTGCCCAGCAGAGCTGTGGGGGCATGGTTACCTCTACCTAAATTTAGAAGGATGGAGCCACCCAAAGTTGCAGGCACATATCCCAAGCAGAAGGCCACCTCGAGAGCCCCTACCAGGGCAATGCCATGGGGGTGGGGCCATCCCTGGGACCTCAACTGGTAGAACCACCAGAGTAAAACTCCAACCCATGAGAGCTGCCATGTGGCTGTACCCAGTAAAGCCATGGGGGCCGGGATGCCAGAGTATGTCCAGAAGGCAAGACCCCCACCCTCTCCACGTGGGTCCAGAATATAGGAGCTTTGCCCCAGAGGGCAGAACATCTAGTTAAAGAAGATTATTCTCAAGCCTTAAGAGTTAATGTTGTTTGCCTTGTGTGGGTTTTGGACTCACTTGTTGCTCCTTCTTTCTTTCCTACTTCTCTCTTTTGCAGTGAAATGTCTGCCCTATGCCTATCCCACCATTGTATTTTGGAAGTGTATAACTTGTTTCATTTCAGAGGTTCACAGCTGGAGGGGAATTTTCCTCAGAATGAATCATACCTTGAGTCTCACTCGTATCTGACTTAGACGATATTTAGATGAAACTTTGGACTTCAGACTTTTAAGTTGGTGCTGGAAGAGTTACAACCTTTGGGGCTGTTGGGATGGAACGAAAGTATTTTGCATGAGAGAAGGACATGAATTTGGGGAGGCCAGGAGCTGCAGTCTGAATGTTTGTGTTCCCCTCAAATTCACATGCTGGAATCCTAATGCCCAATGTGATGGTGTTAGGAGGCAGGACCTTTGGAAGGTGATTAGATCATGAGAGTGGGGCCCTCATGAATGCAATCAGTGCCTTTATAAAAGAGATCCCACAGAGCCCCCTAGCCCCTTCTGCTATGTGAGGATACAAGGAGAATACTGTGACTTGGAAGAGGGCCCTCACCCAACATTGCTGGCACCCTGATCTCAAACTTCCAGCCTTCAGAACTGTGAGAAATAAATTTCTGTTGTTTATAAGCTACACGTTTGTGGTATTTTGTTAGAGTAGCCTGAACGGACTAAGACAAGGACTATACAAATATCTTGTCAGATTTCTCTTTCTGAAATGTTTGG